ACTTAATTATGTATTAAGCTAAGAGACATTCTCTCAAATGAGTTTAAATGCATTTTATCTTTAGCTAACCTACATGATATGTAAAAAAAAAATACGCCTTAAAAACAATGCTTCCGCTCCAAATAAATCAAGGTCAAAATAAATGAAGAGCTCAAGATGACATCAGGCCCATTTGTTTAAGTCCTGGTGTTGTGTGGATGAAGAGCAGCAGCTAGTTATGACAATAGGTGATGCATCCAAAGTAATGGCCAAATTCCTTAACATTTTTCCATTTCTAAACCGTTCTTAAAGAAACTCATATATAGGGTCACACCATTCTCACAGTAGTCCAGCAGAGCAGCCATGCCATCTGGATTTGTGTTTTCCCTAAAAAGAACTGGTAATTTTTGAAGTTAGCTAGGATTTCATAGCTTCATTTGTTCTTCAGCTCCTATCATAAAAGATTTTACTCTTTCTGGCCTCTGTTCTTTCAGTTTGCCTTTGATTGATTTCATGTAATCTTTGATGTACTTCTTGTAGGCTTCTTTTGTGAAGCTGGTTTCCTGAAAGTGATGGTCCATGACAATAGCAACATCAGTGATTACCGTGCTTCCAGTACCTTTGCCCTCAGGGACTTCAGTGGAAGCATTTCCATCATTAGTGAATCATCAATGTTACCCTCTGTCCTCCTGACCACCTTCCCCTCCACCTCCAGGCACAACCCATCTATGATCTCCCAAATCTTATAGATGTCGGAGAACATCTTATCATGGCTGAGGACGTCCTGGTAGATGATCATGAGGGCAGCTGGAGAGAGACCACTGCGGAGCTAATTTAGCCGGAGCCTAGAGCTCTGAGCTAGTGGTACAGCCTGAGCAGCACTGGCGGGCAGGAGGGAGTGGGCAGAAAAGCCACACTCCCAAGTTTTAAATGTAAGAGGATAGGATCCTTCTCCAAGAGTCACCTTCTGGTATGTTACCATTTCCTCTGCCTGTCCTCCTTCCCTCGGGAGTCCAAGACTAAGACTGTGGAATTCTTATAGTAATAGAAAGAGGAATTAGGAAACCAGCAGAGTGGACTCAGATAAGGGCAGGATTCAGATTCTGGAGCTATAATGAGTAGAGTATTCACCAAATTCTCTTAGGAAGAAGTCTAAGGAAGCTTCTTTCTTAGCCATTATCTTCTAAACCTTCCCATTTTTCAAGGCATAATCTTCTGACAAGTCTATTTTTTGGCAATTCATTTCATCCTTACAAATAAATTTTTGTTAATTGAAGTAGAGTCAAACGTAATGTTGCATTAATTTCACATGTACAACATAGTGATTCCACAACTCTATATGTTATGCTATGCTCGCCACAAGTGTGGCTACCATCTGTCACCCTACTTCACTATTACAATACCACTGACTATATTCCCTATGCTCTACCTTTCATCCCTGTGACTTACTTATTCCATAACTGGAAGCCTGTATCTACCACTCTCCTTCACCCATTTTGCCCATCCTCCCTTTTCCCGCTGGCAACCATCAGCTTGCTCCCTATATTTATGGGTCTGTTTCTGCTTTTTGTTGTTGTTGTTGGTTTCTTTTGTTTTTTAGATTCCACATATAAGTAAAATCATATGGTGTTTGTCTTTCTCCGACTCATTTCACTTATTATAATATGCTCTAGGTCCAACCATGTTGTCACAAATGGCAAGAGCTCATTTTTTATGGCTGAATAACATTCCATTGTGTGTATATATATACACACACACACTACACCTTCTTTATCCATTCTTCTATCAGTGGACACTTAGGTTGCTTCCATATCTTGACTATTGTAAATAAAACTGCAATAAACAGAGAGGTGCATATATCTTTTCCTTACAAAGAAATTATGTGAAGTTGACAGAATCCAGAATCCAGTGAACACAACATCCTCCTGTTCAGTTGAACACTCCCATTTTTCTCTTTACTTTCCTATTCCACCATCCATAACACTTGCTCTAATATCAAAAATATTTCTAGACTGCAGGCTCAGTGAGGACAGGATTCATATCTGGCTTATATCTGTAGTTTCACTGCTCCATCCTAGTACCTGGCGGAGCTCCTGAAAGGAAGTATACTCAGTACTGATGGGAGGAATGACTGAAGCAATGAATAAACAATAAATCCTCTACTGGGATACACAGACATTCTCTCTGTGGAAGGCAAATCTAAAAGGAAAGCCATGACCTGGATCCCTCTCTTCCTCTGAAAAGAAAGAACTAACTCATTAAATCCTTTTCACTGGTGGCCTGGGTGGCTTAGTGGGTTGAGCATCTGCCTTCGGCTCCGGTCATGATCCCAGAGTCCTGAGATAGAGTCCAGCATCCAGCTCCCTGCTCAGCGAGGAGTCTGCTTCTCCCTCTGCCCAACCCCCAACCTGCTCTCTCTCTTAAAAAAATAAAAATAAAAAATCATTTTTTAAATATACCCCTTTCATTGTAAATACTTCTAATTCTATCATTATCACTTTTTTTTTTCATATCATTTCCATTCAGGGAAAAATCCAATGAAGGCAGAATTACAGACCTGATACTCTATGGATAAGTAAAGCACAGAGTAAACTGAATGGATTTCTACACAACTAGGTAATTTTACAACGTTAAATATTTGATCAAAATATGCATAATTACCAAGCGACCACATGACTTATTTGATGACTGATGAATGTCATACAATTTTTTTTTTAATTCTTCCTTGATTTCCTTATGGAAGAAAGAGATTTTCATTTGCAACTCAAGTAATTTCTAAGTGGTGAATTGGCAGAAAGAAATAATCTGCCTTTCAAAAGAAAATGGTTTAGTTTAGAATTAGTAAAAAGGACATGTGGAATCTCATTAAATTCATTTATGATTTGTCACATATTTTCACAGGCCTTTCTGAGAAGAAATAGTAAATAATAACTTTTGATAATTATTATTTTCAGCATGCATTTATTTTGAAGCAGGGTTGTATCAATATATTTATTATCAGGTTGCCTCAAAGTTATTTCTATACACTACCTTGTGTGTCATAAAAACTACAAGAAAGAAAACATTATTCATTACCAGACATCCAGGTCTACTTGTATAATAATCACTGCAGAGTTTTGGAGAAGTATGTTCTACACCAGGAAACTAAAGAATACAGAATGTTCACAAATCACATGCTACCTTTTCTTGAAGCTAAAGAACTTTCTGTGCCAGTCTATTTTACCTGAAAATGTTTAGATGAAAAAAACAATGATAACAAGAAGAAAGGATGCTAACATGTATTGAGGTCTCCCTCTTGCCCCCTGTTGTTGAAAGTCTGTTGAAACTACTTGCCGCCTAATTATTCTGTAAATTAGATTTTTTTAATATTCACTTTCAAATGAGGAAACTTGTGTTCAAAGAAGTCAATGTTTTGGGGAGGTTGCTAAAATATGTTTAACTCCAAATCCCATTATTCCTGCCCCCAAGAAACTAATAAAGAGTTTCCTCTCTGGAACATACTGATAAATTGCCCGTAACATCCATCTCCAGCTTGCACTCCACAAACGCTGCTGCTCACCTGCTCCCAGCCAAGCTCAGAAGTCAGACCCTCCGGGTCTGCACAGGAAACAGGTTACTGTCACTCACCCTTATCAGAGTGTCCTCATGGTCAGCCTGAAAACTAAGGCGCCAAATGTCCAAAGCCATATACCAAATGAATGTGTTTAGATTGCTTACAAGATATGTTCACACCAGAGAAATGAAGAGATTCAAGTCTTGTCATCGTATTTCAAAAAAAAATCTGCATCTCGGGTTTCTGATTTACCCTCAGTGTGTTATGGCATTCCAACGTGAGCAGAATCCTCCAGGAGAAACCAGAGTCTCTGCCCGGGAGGAAGGCGGAGGAGACTGATTTCTGGTGACAGAGATTAGAAGAGGACAAATGGGTAGACTTCCGAAGTGTGTGAGGAAAAGGGATCTGAGAAGTGAGAACACACACACAAGCAGAAAGTGGAGCGAAATTCCAAAAGCCAGCGACACCTACCAAAGTACGCGTCTAGCTGTACCCGCAGCCTGCAGCAGGTTACACACACACATACACACACACATACACACACACACACGCTCTTGACGACAAATCTGGGATCGTGCCTCTGCTTTAGGGGTGAATGGTTTAATTGGTTTAGAAAAGAACAGCCCATAAGAAATGTCTGAGAGCAGGGACCTCAGCAAAATATCTTGAAGTTAAAAAAGGAAAAATCAATCACGTACAGATTTTATTTTATTTTATTTTTTAAGATTTTATTTATTCATTTGAGACGGATACGGAGAGAGAGAGCATGAAAAGGGGAGAGGCAGAAGCAGCCTCCCAGCCAAGCCAGGAGCCAGACGTGGGGCTCGATCCCAGGACCCTGGGATCATGACCTGAGCCAAAGACAGACGCCCAACCATCTGAGCCACCCAGGCACCCCTCATGTACAGATTTTAATTGCAACTGAGGAAGTGCAGCCCTTCCTGAGCGTCTCAACCCGCCACGCTCTCGCTGCGTGGCTACAAGTAGCGAATGAATGAAATGCGAAGGGCGCGACGGAGGAAAGGAGCGCAATCGTAGCCCGCGAAGGGGTTCGTCAGCTCCGCGGCCCCCACAACGTCACCAAAGCAGGGGACTGTACGAGACTATAAAGCCAGCTGCAGCGCCTGAACCTCAGTGCTCCAGCCAGGGCCCGGGAACCCGAGCAGAGGCAATCCCGGAGTTCTCTGCTGGTGACAGCTCCTAACGTCTCCCTTCCCTCCCATCTCATTCTTCCTGCCTGCTCGAGTCGGAAACTCCTCCGAGAAAGCGACTCCCCTGCTACCCATCACCTGCTGGCTCCAAGCATCTCATAACCAGCAAGGGCTGCGGTAGCTTCTCCACCTTGCTTCCAGGCAGGGCTGAGGTCCGCCCAGCAGCAAAGGGACCGGGAAGCGGAGAAGAACTTCGAGGGAGTCGGCTCCGGCTGGCGGCGGGGAGTGGGGAGATCCGGGGCTGCAGCCCCGTGGCGATGGGCACTCTCCCCGCAGCCGCGAACTGGACGGACGGCGCGGGCACCGCGGGCGCGGACGCCGGGAACCTGAGTGCGGCGCTCGCGGCAGGGGCGGCTGAGGCTGAGTGGCTGCATCTGCTGGTCCAAGCCGGCAACCTCTCGGCCTCCTCCTCCGCGCCGGGACTGCCTGCGGCCTCCCCGGCGCCTACGCAGCCCCGGGCCAACCTCACCAACCAGTTCGTGCAGCCGTCCTGGCGCATCGCCCTCTGGTCCCTAGCATACGGCGTGGTGGTGGCCGTGGCGGTCTTCGGGAATCTCATCGTCATCTGGATCATCCTGGCCCACAAGCGCATGAGGACCGTCACCAACTACTTCCTCGTGAACCTGGCTTTCTCCGACGCCTCCATGGCTGCCTTCAACACCTTAATCAACTTCATCTATGCGCTTCACAGCGAGTGGTACTTCGGCGCCAACTACTGTCGCTTCCAGAACTTCTTCCCTATCACGGCCGTGTTCGCCAGCATCTACTCTATGACGGCCATTGCGGTGGACAGGTGAGGAGAGAATAGGGAGGAATGGGGGGAAAGGGAGAGAGAAGAGCTGGGCAGTGGGATAAGGTTACCAAGGACATGGTGACAAGACGGATTTGATGAAAGGAAAGGGCCTGGGAAAGAGTTCTTGGAGAAAGGAGGTCACTAACACATGGGTAGTGCTCCAACTGGCTGAACCAGTTTCTGCTTCTAGGGCCTCCCTCACTCTCCCCAACCCCTGATCCCACTAAGGGCATCTAGAGGGACTGAGAAGACCAATGAGGGAGATGGGGAAAATCTGTCATTCCAAGAGGGACAAACTCAACTAGAAACAATACTAGCAAGCTTTCCCAAATGGCTTCAAACAATTGCTACAAAACTTACGTTCTCTGTAAAGGGAACTTTTTGGTCTTCCTTCTCTCTGTTAGTCACTATTCTGTCAGAGAAATGGACGATGAGTCACCCTCCACCCTTCCCCCCTCTCTCTGGTCTGCTGGTCCTCAACCCCACCCGCCCTATTCCCTATCCTTGCTCCAAGGCCAATATTGGCTTGGCCTGCCAGTCATGGAACATCCAATAGAGGTAACGATGTCTCTCTAAAAGACTGCTTTATGCTGAAAGTTTCCACAGTGACTTGGGTTAGATTTCACTTTCAGTAATCTGAGGAGGCTGGGTACACCTTGTTCCTGGAAGATTACATTCAGCCAAATGTTTCAGACGATGGGGGGGAAATCCTAAATAACGAGATGTACCACTTTATAGCTATTTAAGATGATTTTTTAGAATGTTCCCCCATCTACAGTGGGGATTCTGAGATTCTTAAACAATTAAAAGCCCGATAGACTGCCAATATTTGTTCTCATATTTAAGTTTTTAAAATTTCTGTTTGCATTTGCTTTCTCCTATGGAACATTATGAAATATGCATAATTGTGTTAAGACAATGGTAAACCCCTACTTATTACTGAAAGCTGGTTACACTAATTCAGTATTATTCTAAAACCCAACACCACCAGTTGATTCGTGTCTGTTCTGTGACTGGCAGCTGCATGGGGGATGTAGGGGGGTGATGTGACTTTAACTTCAAGCCTCAATGTTCTTAACTGTGAAAAGAAAAGAGCACTTTTTTTCTATATTAACAACCTGTTTCAAAATGAAATTTTGACTTAATATTCTTACTACATTAGCATTTTTAGAAGGCCTCTAAAACTAATCTTCCCTTTATCTCTGATCTTCCACATGTATCTCCTCCTTCACTTTTGTAGGAATAGGAGTGAGTGCAAAGAAGGAACAAAATCAGCTCCAAGTTGAGGAATAGGTGAAATTGACCCTAATTTTCTCCACCAAGATAGAAACAAATGTTCCTTTAGCTTGAGCATCTTCCCTTTTGTTTTGTTTTGGTTTCCTTTTCCTTCTTTTTTTAAATTACTTGTAAACATGTGATTTTCAATGGGATCAGGAAGGGAATTAGCGTATCGTATTATAAAATTCGCGCCATCTTCTTGAAATATTAATAATTCCTAATGAGATTTGATGAAATTTTAGTGTTGTGAAATTGGTATTTCAAGTCTGAGGGGCAAAAAGGGGTATTTTTCCAGTTATTTTCTGCCAACAGTTAGACAAAATCTGAAGTGGTCTTGGAGTTATTTTAAGATAATGCTATTTCATCACAGTCACTGATTTGAAATTAATGAATATTTTACTTCTTCTTTACTATTTCTTTAGTAGAAAACATTATTTAATCAGCAAAACAATACAAAATTTATCGAGCATGCAATTTGCAACAAAATTTGAAGCCTGCTCAGCTTAGGTACTGAAAATCTTTTAAAAAACTGTTATTTAAAGTAATACTTTGTGCACAGAATTGATAAAAAGAAATACAGACATATAGAAAAACCTGTTTAAGATAATTTTTAGAATCAAAGATCATTCAAACCTAACAGTTATTAGAATTTTCAATAGTTTACCATCCTGTGGAATCTTTCTGCACGTGTATGTTAGCAAACATGAACTGGAAAAGCTAGTCCTGTGGTATTTGCTATTACTTTATAGATTCAAGTTTGCAAGGTTTACCCTCTCTGAGAAATTTCAGGTGAGTCATGGTGCCTTTGGTTATGGTTGCATGGACTCCCCACCCCATATAGGATATAGGCAATAGTATGTACTCACAGAAATTATATTTTCCTGTATAATTAATGCTTTATTGAAATAATCATAAAGGTTGTTAGTTCCCTAATTAGTTCTTATTGATAAAGGAATACATAATTTAGACTGTGATGTGAATACTAGTCTTATTGAATTGTGTTTTCTATCCTCATTGAATATAAACTGAATTGTATTCTCCCAGCCTAAATAGAAAACATATTTAACTCACTCTGTCCCTCTGCATAAAATCAAAAAGATCCTCTGAGCTTGAAAACTACTTTAGCTTTGACTCAGACACAAATGGCTTTTCTTCAGCTAGAGCAAAATGGTTGCAATCTCCTATGAACTTGGAAATTTTAGACCTGACTATAGATATTCCCTTAGTGAACACATGTATTTTACAAATGGAGACCTTCAAGCTAACTGTCACACATTTTGTTTTGTTTTGTTTTTGTATAATTCTAGTAATTCTACCAAATATGTGCATGTGAGGTCACAGGTTCTGGTCTTATCCTGATACACGTTAACCTTCTGTCTTATCCTGATACGCGTTACCTTCTGTTTTGTTAAAAATTTCTGCAAAACTCTTTTTTATTGGCTCAGAAACCATCTTTCAGTTCTACACAGTTCCCTCTTGCCTGGAAGTCTACTTCAGCATCCCTACACATCAATACCCATACCCACACACATACACACACACACACACACACACTGGAATTATTTGCCAATCAGGTCACTGTTTCTCTTCACCATCCTTCCCAAATTTACCATTTTGAACTTTAACATTTAAACATAACATTTATTCAAAAGATGCTAAACTTTCCCAAGATCATGCAGTAGAGCCAAGATTCAAACCACTGTAACCCACTCAAGGGTCTGCTATTCTAAGCCTCTACGTTAGTAAAATGGCTCCTAAGGAATTCTGAATGTTGTAGAGTTTAATTAGACAAATTATTACCTTCATTTAAATTAGAATTTAGTGCTTGTTTATAATATATAAACTATATATCTATATATTATATATCTTAAATGTACATTTAACACATCTTACGTATATAGTACCTTTATTGTAATTGAGAATGTAGATAATAGAAAATTATTAATATAATACAAATATTGTCATCTTATTCATTTATGGCCATATACCACTTGATATGTGGGAATATATTAAAAAACAGAAAATATTTTCTTCCGTTTTCTAAGCACATTTTTGAGATTAAGTTAGAAACTCTAAGAAGGGTTTATTAATATATAGTAAAGGAAAATTTCAGAACTCATACTCCAGTATTGATTGTAATATTTAATTAGAGAATTTTTAAAATGACATTCACTCTTTCTTAACTGGAAACCTTAAGGAACCATTTCAATATGTCTTATTTAATAGTCCTAAAACATTAACAAAGACAGCAAAAAATACTTATATTCTTCAAATCCAGGGACACACCCCCAGCATGAATAGTTATAAAAAGTATTTTATCTAACTGAACTGTTTTATTTTTCATCCAAATAGATAAAAGTTGATCTTATATGCTACTCTTCATTTTTTTAAAAATTTCTTTAGGAAGATCCTTTTTAATAAAGCTGTTATGCAGAGTATTCATAGAACATCTATTTCTTTTGAAGTTTATTATGGACAAATAAAAAATATGTAGTTATAAAAAATCATGAGGCCTTGGGGCGCCTGGGTGGCTCAGTCGTTAAGCGTCTGCCTTCGGCTCGGGTCATGATCCCAGGATCCTGGGATCGAGTCCCGCATCGGGCTCCCTGCTCCGCGGAAAGCCTGCTTCTCCCTCTCCCACTCCCCCTGCTTGTGTTCCCTCTCTCGCTCTGTCTCTCTCTGTCAAATAAATAAATAAAATCTTAAAAAAAAATCATGAGGCCTCAATGTGATAAAAATTACCTAAATGTACTGTGGTTACTTTTACATCACTGCTACGAATATTATGGATATAAACACTTCAGTAAATTTTTAAAAACTCCCTCATCAGTCTTTAATTCTGGTGCCCTGAGCCAAACTCCTCATTCCTCTCTATTTTAGGGACAGCTACTATCCATGCAGGTAATATTCTTTATTAGTGTTATGGTAAGACTTGATTCAATATTTAACCCAGATGATGAATTGGATGAGTTTAGCCTAAGATTAATTGCTCTATCTTTGCTTTATTTACAAAATAGTAACTAAAACTATGTTTGGGGAAAGATTGTTTTTAGGGTATTTACTGTGAATCTTCAGCTCTTTCTACAATTTGTAGTTGTTATCTAAGGATTTTTAAATATCCCATTTATATCTACTAAAATTACTGCTGTAGTGAGCTGTGAACATTCTGTTAAAATTATAATGCAAATTCTTATAAAATTAATCATGAGCACATAGTGCAAGCAATAAATATACATTAATTGAATGGGTGAAATATACTATCATTATAGTATAAGATATAATCACAAGTGGCTCTTCTATAGCTGGCAGAACTCTAGTTGATATCAAGGTTATGTTCACCGCAATGGGAAAGACTGTTGAAAAAAAGTTTGCAGCATATTTAACAGACCTAGTGTAAAGACAAAACCTTAAAATATAACACATTCTTACACACTAATAAGAAGATACAGCATTAATATAAAAAGAACAAAAGACATAAACAGAGAGTTCATAGAAGAAAAAAATGTCTAACAAACATAAAATTATGGGCTACTTACATTCCATGTCTCCATTTCTTCACCTGCTCTTTGCTCCTCAAGCTACTCAAATCTGAATTCATCTCCCAAAACTCTTATCTGAAGATAAGTTGTGAAACCCAGTGGACATTTCATTCCTTAACTTCCTTGATTTTTCAGTAGTATTCCTATCAGGTAGCTCACTGCTTCTTGGCTTCCAACTTCCCA